TGTTTTCTCTGTTCTACTGCATCATTTTGAGTTCTGTCTTCCTGTTCTGTCATTGTCCTAATACGTGTTTTAAATTAAGTAGGGTTTTTAGATTTTTGTTCATTACTTTACAAAGTTGTAGATCCATCAGAGTTTAAAAATCATTGAAATATCCAGAGGTTGATTCTGGCCTAAATAAACTGATTGCAATCAATAAAAACAAAAATGCAGGATAAAAATGTTTTCACATCTGTGTATTTCTGTTCATCTTTCATTCTGGTTTATTTGTCATTGAATGCATGTGAGGAGACGGAAGTCTGGGGTCTCTACTCAGACTTCTGCCCTCGTGGATGAAACAGACAACGATGGATGGATCTGCACAAGCTACACGAAGCATGAATAATGATACACAAATAATAAAAGTAAAATACATGTGATGACTATTTACAAGTAAAAACATCATTTAGACGCTCTGGGAAATATGCTATATACAAATGTGCAAGGAAGTCCAGGAATTCACAACGACCCCAGAAGTTTTACTCTGTCAGAGATGTTCAAGAGAAACACAGTAGACTTCTGATCAGGGTCAGGAGGCAAGATTCTGTTAATTATTGTTAGAAAATAGAAAACGGAAATGTAGGTCAATTTGCCTGAGAGAAAAGGATATTTACACAAGTAATTTCATTTTAAGAATATTCAATCTCAGGAAGTGGCTTCGTGGTCTCAGACGCTCAGACTCCGTTTCGCTTCTTTCAGTCTGACCCTTTGACATAGACCTCTGACACAGGGACTTTTTCTGCTTTAGTTCGAAACACTCTCACTTCCCTTTTACTCCTTCCCTTCATCTGTTGCATTAATTGTGTGTGGTGCATTTGAAACCACACAGCTTCCACTGAACTCACAGAAGGTAAATATAGAAGCTGGGGCAGACTTGAGGCGCCGAGCTGGCCTCATTTGGATGTTAAATAAATCCTAATGCAAATGTCACCAGATGTTATCACATTGGGAACAGTGTTGGTGATGACGTCTTCCATTCCCTGGTTTAAGCAAAAGATAAAGTTTGATTCAGTCACGTTCTCTGTATGAAGAGATGCAGCGTCCTGATTGGTTGAAATGAATCCAAATCCTTGAGGCCCTCATCATTGGTTTTGCCAAGGAGAAGGACTGTTTTGAATATATTATCAAAATTTCCCCCACTGTGGGACAAATAAAATTATCATATATTCTTGTTGAAAATACTACACTGTATTCTCATGTACATAAGTAACTTAGTCGTTAGTAATTTCTGGAAAAGGCATGTTCCAGCTTCTTCACTCTGGCAGAAGATATTTTTGGCTGAGATCCAAGACATCTGGATATACTAACAGCTTCTTTCCACAAGCTGTTATCAGTCAGTCCTATTGGGAGAACAGAGAGACACCAGAGAAAAAGGGAAAATAGAGAGAGACCAGGGAAAAACAGAGAGATCAGAGAGAGAGGGAGACTCTCTCAGCTTGTGGAAGATGCTGTTAGTATATCCAGATGTCTTGCATCTCAGCCAAAAATATCTTCTGCCAGAGTAAAGAAGCTGGAACATGCCTTTTCCAGAAATTACTTACGACTAAGTTACTTATGTACATGAGAATACAGTGTAGTATTTTCAACAAGAATATAAGATAATTTTATAGAGAGACCAGAAAAAACTAAGAGATCAGAGAGAGACCATAGAGAAAGAGAGAACAGAGGAAAAAACAGAGAGAGACCAAAGAGGGACGAGAGAGACCAAAGAGAGACGAGAGAGACCAGAGAGAGAGACAAGGGAGAAACAAGAGAGAGACCAGAGAGAGACCAGAGAGAGACCAGAGAGAGACCAGTGAGAGACCAGAGAGAGACCAGAGAGAAACCAGAGAGAGACCAGAGAGAGAACAGAGAGAGACCAGAGAGAGAACAGAGAGAGACCAGAGAGAGACCAGAGAGAGACCAAAGAGAGACCAGAGAGAGACCAGAGAGAGAACAGAGAGAAAGAGCAGAGAGACCAGAGAGAGACCAGAGCTTTCCACAAGCTGTTATCAGTCTGAACAAAACACTTCTTGCACTTGTATTTAAACTGTTTTTTGTTGATTGGTTTCGCAGTGATGATTGTTTCTTCTACTTTTTAGCTTGTTTTATTGATATACAGGATCTGTCTGGTGTGGGGACTGTAGCACATTTATTCCGTTGTGGTTTTACTGCAAACGGCAATATTACATCAGTCATGGTTGGGGTAAACCAGAGCAGTAGATGTTTTAGGCTTAGAACTGTGGTTGAATTTGTTAATTTATTAGTTTCAGCTCAGACTTTTGAATGATCAAGGACATATTTCTGCTGTGTTGTGATTCTGTAGGGAGCAACAATAAGTTTCAATGTATGCATTTATCACAATATGTCTCTGAAGCAAACAAATTCTGAGACACTACAATGCATCCATAGTTACAGTACATGTACACATTACAGTCACTCAGTCACAAGAGAACATGATCTTGAAGCAACAACAAAAAAACACTTATTTGACTTTGACTGATTAGACTTTAAGCCTTTAACATTCACTCCTTGTAGAAAGACATTTTATATGTTTTGGATTTTCTAAGATGTAACACTGAGCACTAATAACATATTTTTTACCCCTATTTTTTCAATTATGAGCCTGATCCAAATGGTAGAGATTCAGTTTTATGCTAAAAGTGCTTAGTAAGTAAGTAAGTAATCTTTATTTATATACCGCCTTTCACAGACCAGAGTCACAAAGCGGTTTACAATTTTTATTTTTGGGCACTTGTCCTCTCACTCCACACAGAGATGGGAGCGGGGTCGCCAAACAGGAGGCGCATGCCAATCCTATTGTACATATTTTTGTGGTAGGGGAAACCGAAGTACCCGGAGGAAACCCACGCAGACACGGGGAGAACATGCAAACTCCACTCAGAAAGGCCCTGGTCTGGCCGGGATTCGAACCCAAGAGAGATGCTCCAAAGAGGTGTATTTTTCAGTTGCAGGCGTAAAATAGATATAGTGACACAAAATGTAATGTACCAAACGGTTGAGAAAACCATTAAAGGGTTTCTGAGGAGCACAGGGACTGGTCTCCTGCTGGGACTCTGAGGAGCACAGGGACTGGTCTCCTGCTGGGACTCTGAGGAGCACAGGGACAGGCCTCCTGCCAGTGCCAGAGTCAGAACTAAACATGGGGAGGCAGCGTTTCAGATTTATACAGCAAAAAAACAGCCTTCCTGAAAATGTGAGACAGGCTTGTCCTCTGACAAAGTTCAAATCCAGGTTAAAATCCAAATTCTGTTTATCTGTGCATATAACTGAGGGATTGTATCGTCAATCTTTTTAATGTACTGTGATTATTTATTGTTTTAATGTGTTGTGTGATTGTAGCTAGTTTTGTTCAGCACTTTAAGTTGTCTTGTGTATGAACTGTGCTATACAAATAAACTTGCCTTGCCTGTGTCTTGTCTTGCTTTCCAAATTTTAACCCCTTATAAAGCTGTGTTTTTCTATGTCTTGTTCATTGTTTGTGTTTGAAATAAATAAATACTATACTACACTATTCACTCAAACTACATGTGATCCACCTCCTCTGAGGGCTGCAACCTTCTGTCGTCTTCGCTGTATTTGTCACTCGCGTTTTCTTCTACCGTCCTCTCCACAGACCTCGATGTGGGCCCCTCGGCGTCCTCGGCCAGGGCCCTCTCGTAGGCCTTGGCCAAACTCTTCCCAAACCTCCCTCTCACCCTCACCCCCATGCAGTAGTACAGGATCGGGTTCACACAGCTGTTAAAGTACGCCACGCCACTCGCCAACGGATGCCAGATCTTCACCACCAGGCTCTTGCTGTTCACCATTTTGACCAGCTGGAGGCAGTGGTACGGAGCCCAGCAGAGGAAGAAGGCTACGACCAGAGTGACGAGTATCCGTAGGGGGCGGGCCTTTCCTGATAAGCGTGTGCGTTTGATCCCCAACCCGGCGGCAATGTAGCAACTCAGAATGACCAGAAACGGCAAAAGGAACCCGCAGAGAAAGCGGACAGAATACAGGGCGATTTTGACACCGTTGTCTTTTGCCTCCTTTACGTCAAAAGAGCACTTGCTTAAGTTGTTTTTCCCCAGGTAAACTCTGCGATACGCAAAGTAAGGTACGCTGAAGACCAGAGCAAGCGTCCACACACACATGGCAACGACGCGGGCCACAAATAGACTGCGTTTCTTTTTGGTGAAGATGGGTCTCCACACGCACAGGGCGCGGTCCAGGCTGATCACAGCGAGCAGGAAAACGGAGCAGAACATGTTGATGTACTTCAAGAAGCCGTTGAGCTTGCAGATGAAAACGCCAAACGGCCAGTGGTCAAAGAACAGCTTCATGATGAGAGACGAGATGCGAGTGAAGCAGAAGATCAGGTCAGCAGCCGCCAGGTTCACCAGCCACACGTTCGTCACTGTCGGCTGAGACACAAGAAGGTGTTATATATCAATAAATACATCTTAGTGTTTTGATATGAAATGACCTGTTAAGTTTACCATTGAAGCTAGAGTAAGCTGGCCTTGCTCTATTCTACTCGGCTCGTCTCCAGGCAACTTAAGTCAGGCTGTGCTAAAACAAAAGTTGTGAAATGCTGGTTTATTTTATTTTTTATTTTTTTATTTTATTTATTTGTTTATTTGACAGGGACAGTACAAGAAAACATTGCCAGCTCAGTGGCCGATGTTATGTACATAAGGCGTCTAGCCATAGGCTAATTTGCAGCCCCCGTCCCTGGTTAGGCTTTTCAAAGGGGTTTAAATCAGAACAGAAAGATGAAAAATCAGTAAAAGGCATCAAACAATACAACAATAAAAAGAAAGAGGAGAAGACATATCTGACCACTTCCCATCCCAAGTCCAGCCAAACTGTTCAGTGCTCATACTTTTGTTTGTTCTTTAGCCACAGCTTCAGCTTTTGTGAGAAAAGTCTCAGGTCCATTTGGGACTTTAGCTCCAGTGGCAAAGAGTTCCATAACTGTGTCCCTTTTACTGAGAACGCAGACTGACCCAGAGCAGTTTTACAAAACTTCACTCTGCAGTTCCCGCTGACTCCAGCTCTGGTGCTCACTCCTTGATTAGTGTATTTTTGTACTAACTGACACATTACAGACGGAGAAAGACCATTAAGACACTTGAATATATTTTTTATAAAAGAGAAACTGACGAAGCTATCGAATGTCATCATTTTATATTTTTGAATGATAGTGCAGTGATGCCACTTCATTGGTTTTTGATCAAACACTTTAAGTGTTTGCTTGTAGAGTGATGTTAAAGGCTTTAGGACAGATTGTGAGGCCTGGCCCCAAACGATTGAACAATACGACATATGAGATAAAATCATAGCATGTAGATATACTCGTGCCGCCTGAGTTGATACACAAGACCTAATTATACGGAAACAATTTAAATTTGTCTTGATGATGGACATTTTTCTGACATGGGCATCAAACTTCAGTTTAGAATCTATAATAACCCCCAAATACTTAAACTCATCAACCTGCTCGATTTTATTTTTGTCAATATTAATGTTTAGATCATTTGGTGAATTTCTCTTTAGAGAGAAACACATGGCAACAGTTTTAGTATAATTTAAGGTCAGACAGTTGTCCCGCAGCCACTGAGATGTGCTGACAAGCTGTCTGTTCAACAAGTCTGAAGCCTGTTTAGGGGAATCTGCAGCTACATAAATGATTGTGTCATCTGCATACAATTGGCAGCTGGTATTTTTGCAGATTTCCGGTAAATCATTTATGTATAGACAGAACAACAAGGGGCCCAATATCGACCCTTGTGGTACACCTAAATTACATTTTTGGATGGTAGATTTAACACCATTTATTTTTACACACTAAACCAGATTTTAAACCAATTTAAAGCTTGTTTGGAAAAGTTTAGTTGTTTCAGTTTTCTCAAGAGTACTTGGTGGTTTACAGTATCAAAAGCTTTT